GTGCTGCATAGTTGCTATTACTCTAGATACTAGAATACTAATCCTTCTCACCAATACTGAAATCACATTGAAAACTACAAGACCACGCTAAAGTGTGTTTTTCATCGAATTGCTGAGGGTTTTCAAAACAAAATTTGTATTTTGAGACCTAACGTTTTCGTGAGCCCTCCCGGCATGATCGCGGCCGATCTGGTACCAACCCAAGCACGTGATAAGACTTCCATCTCGATTAGTTTTGTAGTAGTAGTATCTTTTCGATGACATCGAGGTTCATAGTGAAAAAAATGACGAACCAAAACGTGCCTGCTTCTACGCAAGTGAAAAACAAAACGGTTCACCAACATGTAGCATTAATGCGTGGCACCGTAAACTGCAGAGCGCGCAGCCTTGTGTCCTAGTGCATAAATGAATACACGGATTGTTGTATGTTGAAGTTGTACAGGAAAGTGCACTCTTTCGAAACTTACATCAAGGAGTACACAGCGACCAGAGATATCTAACGCAGTCTATCACAGTGTACGAGGCGCACAGTATCTCCAAACTTTACAACAAGAAGCTCCACGCAGCGCATGTGGTTCAAGATAAGCGACACCCATCAAGATTTGATTGATGTCGTCAAAAATTGTCATGAACGCACAGCGAGAAAAACAGTCCACGAGCTTGTCCACGGAAGAACTTGTCTATTGTCGCTTACTTCGAGAATTTACCACACGCAGGTCTCGGCCTTTCATTCTCAGCTCACTTCCCAATTTCCGCGAAGAACCCAACCACCAGACCTTTCTCCAACTTCCAACCTTTCTCTGTCAACCATGTCCGCTTTCGCTTTCCTGCCGCCTGTCCAAGAAGATCTCCCTCACCACGTCTCGCCGGCTCGTACCATCACGTGGACGCCGGTGGACCCTGCCAACACGCGTCTTCGCTGGACGCGTTCAGATGCTGCTGCCAAGGCCAGCCTCGCACATCCCACGGAGCCCAGCACCAAGTCTACTCCGTTTCAGCCTTGTCATCTCGCCGATGAAGACACTGTCGCCGACAGCGCTGCCAGCGCGCCACCGACCGAGGTCATCGTCTGCTCCAGAGATGCTCATAGAGCTGCCAGCTGCAGCGAATGCCTGGCAATTGTACTATATTGCCCTCCAAGAGCGCAGCAAGTAGAGCTAAAGCTTGCCTTTGCTTGCCCCGACGTCGCGGCTCAAGTCCAGAAGGCCACCACTCCGATGGACACGCCCCCGTCCGATCTCACTGCCACGTCAGCTTACCACGACATGACTATCGTCGTATTTACCGACAAGCGGGCCACGTTCTCAAATCCACGCTCCGAAGAACCCCCGGCTGCCTCGACCAAGGAGATGTACGCGAGGCTTCTCATGTTACAGACGGCGAACGCCACCTCAGTAGCCACGGCCGTCCTACACGGGCTTCGTACTGACGCCACCGTTGCTGCCAACGTGGTGGATGACGAAACCTTCAAGCACGATGTACAAGACGATGCTCGAGCTACTCGTCGATCTGTACTCCCCAGCCGACTCCGCATCCAGCGGATACAGCCACGCGTCTACGACTTCCAACGTGAGTCCAAGTCGATGGCCACAACTGCGGGCACCAAGACCCGCCGAGCGACTCATAGCAGCACCACCCCAGCATCCACACACAAGCGTTCAGCCCAGAAGAACAAGAATGTCGCGTCCAGGTTGTTCGACTATCTTAAAGACGCCACGTATCTTGGCCACCGAGCCGAATGCAAGGAGCGACGTAGCCAAGCGAGCGCTACCATCACCGAGCGCCGGTGGCTTTGAACGTGAAGAACTTCCAGCTTCTCCATCCACTCGGAGCTCCACATCCATTGTAGCCATACATTGTACTTCAAAGTAGTATCTGCACATTGACTATAGACATCAAACCATAGTAGCACCACCATATTTAATGAATACATTCCTTGCACTCCACAGCAGCGCACACGTAAGTAAAGGGAGCAAAACACATGAGATCGCTTCGTGTGCTACCAAAGCTAGCTTGATTCATCATATGAGCACATGTAATGGAAGTGGAGCATCAGCAATGGTGTCGAAGTCGTAACACTCTCGTAAAATTGCCTCAACACACTCAGCACATCTTCAACGGTACGGAAGCCAGATTTCTGCAGAGTAGTTGGGTCGATAGTGCCCAATTCACGTGTTTCAATCTTGTTTATCTGTAGATAAGCAAACTGCGCTCTTGACGATGAGTTATTTACACTCGTGGTTGTGGCCGCAACGATAGAGTAAGTGAAGATGCCCTTCAAGTCCGAGTTGAGGTCACTATCGATGTCTGATAAAAGACGCATCGTGATGGTCTTCTTTCCACGTATAATGCCATCAACGAGGTTTGAACCAAAATCCAGCCGAGGAAACGATCTGTCTTTCAGAAGCGTCACATTCTCCACATTGAGTGCTGATCCTTTAGGCAAATTGAGAGCAGCGTGAAACAGGTGCAAGTCCCGCATGAAATGCGAGTTGATTTCAATCCATGGACGAATGATTCTGAGTTGAATTGAAGCAGTGAAGCCATGTTAGAGATATCAAATACATTAGAGAGTCTAGTGCTGCCCTTACCGGATCCGATCGACAACATCTTGCACACTCTGCTGGCTTGGCCCGTTGACAAGCATCCAAGCTGTCACCACAGACGCGGAACGCGACCTGCCGGCAATACTGTCATCCAAATTGCATTCAGAATCACAGCAATAAAGTCATTCGGCATTGCCTCCAGCATATTCAGACACTTACCAATGGACCAGCACGTTCGTGTCATCCCGCTCTGCCGTCTCCCTGACAACCATTATCAACGATTAGCAGTTATCTCCATCCCCAATCAAAAAGATTTCCAAAGGAATGGAGCGTCTTACACGAGCTTCTTGAGCTCCGCCAGTATTTTCGGTAGTTTGCAAAGCAAGTCACCGTCCTTGGAGTCTTCAATCTCGACGGTCGTCCGAGCGAGCTTCAGCTCCTCATACGCTTCACCCACTGCACTCGAGTGACCTGACACTGCAGAAACTCCCTCTCCCTTGCCAAGCAGCGCCAGAGCTCCACCGATACGCAGGCGCCGCAACGCCACCACATTTCTCGCAGCGTCAATAGACCCGAGGAAGAGTCTCCCATTGATAGACATAGGCTCATCGTCTATCAGCTCCTCAACTTCGACCTCCTCCTCGTATTCATACTGCTCATCCTGCAGTCTCCGCTCCACCTCGTCCCCGGACGTGTAGGCCTCGTACCAAGTCGCCGCAGCTCCATCACGCTCCATTGGAGCTCTTCAAATGGCTACACTTTATGTACCAAATCCAGTGATGTACCAATAAGACGGTACATTCGTAGGGGCCAGCGCTTGGCTCTATCGGGAAAGAAAGCAACGGCGGACCTTCAGCAGGTTACGTGCGACTAGCGCAGCGGCTGCAATCTCTCGCTCAGCGTCCCTTATCGGCCTCTCCGAACAGCAGGAGAGGCGTGACTAGACAGTGGCGAGGCTACCGCAGTGTTTCTATCGCGCTAACGCCGTCTACAGCCCGCGGAATCCGCAGCCAAAGGACACGCCATGAGCCAACCCGTTAACGGCGGTCAGGCGGCCGACGAGGCCGAACTGGAGCGATTATTCGGCCACATGGAAGATCTGCGTGTCTCGGAGGCAGCACTAGCGTCCGTCAGCGCCTCAGAGGACGAGGAGGACGAAGAAGAGGACTCCAGCGCTCTAGATGATAGTGACGACGACGATGGCGACGAGGATAACGACGTAGAAGGCAGCGACGAGGAAGAGACGAGCTGGATCGCCTGGTTCTGCTCTTTGAGGGAGAATAGCTTCCTATGCGAGGTGGACGAGGACTACATCGAGGACGACTTCAACCTCACGGGGCTCAGCAGCATCGTGCCGTACTATGACTACGCGCTGGACATCATCCTGGATATCGAGACGCCCAACGATAGCACCCTCACACAGATCCAGCAGGAGATGATCGAGTCAGCGGCCGAAATGCTGTACGGACTCATCCACGCACGCTACATTTTGACCACCAAGGGCATGGCCGCCATGTTAGACAAGTACCAGAATGTAGACTTCGGTCGCTGTCATCGCGTGTACTGCCAAGGACAACCAGTGCTCCCCGTGGGACAGTCAGACGTGCCCAGACACACAACCGTCAACGTGTTTTGCCCCAAATGCCGCGATATCTTCTTCCCCAAGTCGCAACGAGCGGGCCGTACGTTGATTTGTGCGTCGTTCTCGCTAATTTGAAGCTCAAACTGACCTTATTTTTCATGTTGCAGAGATCGATGGCGCGTATTTCGGTGCGACGTTCCCGCATGTGTTCCTTATGACGCATCCCCACTTGGTAGTGCCCCCACCGACGCAGACGTATGTGCCCCGAGTGTTTGGCTACAAGATCCACAGCTCCAGCGAGTATTACACCGGCAAGAAGAAGAGTTCGTCTGGTCGAGAGCGGGAAAAGAACCGGAAGATGAAGACTTTGATTGACCGCTTGAAGGGTCGACCAAATGACGAACAGCAGGCTAGGTGAACTCGGGAGATATAGCGGTGAAGAGAGGGGGGGGGGGGGGGGTCTTTGGCTTTTTTGCAACCGGGAAGGACTCGCGAGGAACGGCGACAAACGCTGCGTATGACTTTGCGAAGGCTCTCCGATGGCTCTGATCGGACTATTGCAGCGGACTACTTAGTACTTCGCTTACTATTTGACTAGCGGTGGAAGCGCGTAATGTACATGTGCACCGTTGGTTGTCCCGTTCCATTCTCAGTTTGGCTTGTAGAAATCCCTCGTGTAATTGCTCTCTTAGCAGGATGCAAGCGAGACTACGGTAGTGCAAGGATGGCGTCGACTTCCCATGTAACGTGGCCGATTCCATCGCGGTAGAGTTGAAGCGAGAAGAAGAAACCGCGTTCCGAACTGACCAAGTATTCTTCGACGAACTCCAGTGACAGTGTTGGCATTTTGCTTCGTGTAGAGCGCGCTGGTCCATCATTAAAGGATTTCGTGTACATCTCGTCGACAACTGCAGTCGGCAGGAGACGGATCAATGGGAGTGCTTTGGGTGGGGTCACTGACTTGACGCTTCCTTTGACGGCTGGTCTCTGGTACAGTGCATTGATGCTCACAGCCACGGTCAGAAGCTGGTCAGTGTGCGTGGTTTCGTTGAGCTGTAGCAGAACTGAAGGTCCGTCTTGTGCTGGATCGTCCCCATTGCTTACAGCACGTACGTGACCGATGAAGCCAACGTGGCGGTGTTCGAACGCCTCCATCCGCTGCAACAGCATCGACAGATCGCTGCAACAAGCGAAAATTAGTCGCCATATCGACTCAACCACTACTTGTTCTATACGAGTCGTACCTGAATGAACACACGTCCAAGTTGAACGCTTCCTTGAACTCTTCAGTACTCGTTGGTAGCCGATTCCGAGGCCGGTATTTCTTCTCAATATGCGCACTCAACTTGCTCTCCCCGAGAGCTTTGCGCGAGGCGAGGACTGCGTTCTTGTTGACGTTGTTTGCGAAGTAGACGTTCAGACTGCACTCTTCAAGAGAATGAAACGGGATCACCGCTTCGTTCATCCGTAGAACCGAGAATGTGCTTGTTTTTGCGTACTGGATCCGCTTATCCGGCAGTATGACCCACTGGAGCTTGGTGATCATTAGTGTGTTGCCAGCCTCGAGGGACCGAAACACTGCTGGCTGCGAGTATTCAGCTAACTTGATGACCAGCTCGTGAGACGAGCTGCTGTCGATCATCTTGATCCACCGGTACTCGGTCACTTCCGATGAACCTTCGTCCAGTTTCCGCTTTCGGCAGATCCTCCCGACATTTGATAATACCCCGACGAAGTCAAAGTACATGGCATCGAGGTCGCCTGCGTTCTTACCCCAGTACTGGGTATTCAGCGTCGTCACAAAGTTGCACTCCAGCCACGACAGACATAGCTGATGAAGATGCCATGAACCTGGTTGTTGCGAGGACAGCGAAGCATCAGCAAGGAGACGTGGGGCAATCTTCGCCAGTTCGAGGAACTTCCAGTACTTCTCTGTATAAGATGACACGGCAACAAAAGCGTAAGTAGACAGCAAAGAATGAGTTCCAAACAGCAATTCTTACTTGGAACATGGTACACGATTCCAGACGAGTCGTTTGGATAGGATACCAAGGGACTCGTTGTTGCCATCCACTGAAGTTCTCGTGGATTGACGGATGAATAACCTCGAAAAGAAAGGAGGTCCCCTTCATGCAGGGACAGATAGTACTTGGCGCACATGGCGCCGAAGAACATCACTTCGAAGACACCGGTAGCGTCCACTAGACAGCACACAAAGAGAGATTAGAGTACAGCTAAACTGATCTCCAGCCAAGTTCTAGCTCCACCTACCAACAACCGCGTTGAATGCAAACGGGAACGGATTCGATATATTCGGGTCCCCCAAGTTGAGCACCTTCGACTTGACACGGATGGCTCCCAGCATAGGCGGGTTCAAATTACTGATGATTCCCTGTCGATTGTTCATCTTTATCTTGTCGAGGGCCTCCAGGATCGTGTGGAGCTTCTTGCACTCGGGCGTAAACAGGTCCGAACAGTAGTCCGGAACGATATTCCATGCCACCGAGCTAGTCGCAGGTTCATTACCCGCCGTGGGCATTCCGTAGCGATTCGGCCAGTTGCTTTCCAGCTCATCCAGCGGCGAGTCCTCGTCAGGTTGTCCTCCTGTGAAGCTGCAGGCCCAGTCCAATGTATAATGATCTGATCGCATTGGCAAATAGTACAGCCGCTCTCCAACCAAGGGGAGCAGATCCACTTCTCGTGGGTGGGTAGTTGATATAAACTTAAGCTGGTCATCAGCTTGGCGGGATCCGTAGCGTCGAGCCACCACTTTATCCGGCAAAATCCCATCGTCGCTTAGTGATGTGACGACCACGTCCTGAAGCAGCACCACCCGATGCTTGTACTCTTTATCCTCCATGAAAACCTTGAATTTAGTCACCTGAAAGCAGAAAACGAAGTCAATACATGAAATTTACAGTGTCAATGATGACCAGAAGAGCAATTCGTACTCGAATTAGACTACGGGCCGTCACCTCCCTCGTCCACACGAGTTTGTGGCACTTTGTGGCTAGCACTGCCTTGATTTTGTGGCGTCCATCGCTCAGCAGCACGTCAAACACATCACGCGCGTCCGCGAAGTGCTGTCCAAGTCGCTTCTTCAGTGCAGGGTCCGCTAAGTCTGTTCAATAGCCTGAGTTCAGTAATACCTCAACAGTTAAGACCGACGAGGCTGCAGATACGTACAGCGGTAGACTCCCAATACTTGCAATCGGATCGCAGCGTCCGCCGCCGTGTCTTGATAGAGCTGCCGCACTCCGTCCGTCGTCAGCAAGCCCGACATGATAAATTACGCAATGAAAAGCGAACTTAATCAGCCAAGAGCGAATCTATTGGTTAAGTACGCATTGAACTTATTTTGAATTTTGCCGCCCATTAGAAAGCGTAATCTATCCCGAAGCATCAGCACAACATGCCGAAGCAGCGTCACGTGGCCTTCTCGGGCGCCGAGGTGATCGAGTACAACGCAGCATTGGCCCCCGTTGTCAAATTATGTGGTGCTTTGGGCTGTGTGAATGGCTCGTCCTTGATGCTCGAGTGTGAGGCGAGAGGTCTCGAAGTCTCCGATGAACGTTTGACCTTGCACTACATCGAGGAACTGCAGCGGTCCCTGCGCTCTCGAGGCTTCGAACCAATGAGCTGCGACCTGAAGGAGCTGCAGACCCAGCGCCAAGTCGTTGAGCTGCTGCTAGCCTGGACTACACTCGGCCATCAACCCGTCACCATGGATGTGCTGGACCCGACGACGCTGCAACGTGTGCAACTGGAAAAGAAGCAACTTGAGGCTCGCGTGGATGATGGCTATGCGTTCGGACGTCGGTTCTTCTCTGTGTCCACATACGTTGAGTCACTGAGCAGTGAGGAACTGCTGGCTGTGGCAAAAGAGAGGGATATGGAGCTACCAAAGCTGGACGAGAAACAGAGAGCAGGCGTTAAGGCGTTGGATAGGGAACTACTAGGACTGTATGGCACGGCAGAGGGACGACCACTGAGATCACTGACATTGAGGCAGTTAGTGACTGAAGCAGAGGGACGAGGAATGCTTGGACCTGGAGGTGAGAAAGCGAGGGACAGTAAGGGCAAGAAGAGCAAGCGCGCTTGGGTGGATCTGCTCAGACCGGTGATGGTGGCCGAGGTGCGTGCTGCCAAGATCCGTGAACAGCAAGAAGAAATGCTACGAGAGCAATTGGTGAAAGAACTGGAACAGGAAAAGGAGCAGGAACAGAAACAGCGTGTGGTAGAGTTGATCCAGACGCTCATGAAGCGGTCAGAGGGCTCGGACTGTGGTGAGCCCGAGGATGACGACGCAACGATAAGCCAAGAGAGCGACTCGAAGGTTGACAAGACACACAGGTACTTGGAGGCACTAGTCAAGAGTGTTTGCATACCTAGAGAGACGCAACAAGACGTTGCTATGGATTGAAATTAAGCGTCCACTTCTTCAATATTCTGGAGCTATGCACAAGTCAGGCTATTTTGCTACCGATGCAATCGAGTAATTGGTGCAGCTGACGAGTGTAAGTAAGTCATGAAGCTCGAAACGAACGCAGAAAAGCTCGTCGACTAATTTAGCCTTCGTATGAGCTGCTGAATGTGTCGAGTGCTGGTCTATCTAAAGCTGCAAACACCAGAGACGGACTCAGCACGTTTAAGTGTGCTGGCCACTTCGTCAGGCTGTCAGGTCCTGTGTCTCGGCTCTTGAAAGACGGCCCTCGCTACACATGACCACATCGAGAGGCCCAGCCAAAATGTCCTCGTTACACCGTCGCCAGTCCGCGTTGAACCTGCCGCCACAGACTACCGATGGCCTAGGAACAAGTGCCGTTAGCCTTGAGATTCAGCCAGCTCTATCACTTACAAACGTTCAAGACGATGAGAATACGTCGCAAGGAGAATCATCGCCAACGAGTAGAAGCTACCGAGATAAACCAAGCAAGGCAAGTCTAGCAGGCAGACAATTTTCACTAGAGACAAACCCAGAGATTTACGAGACTCAACAAGGGTCAGATACACTACGCGGTCGTCATGGATCTCGGGCCAGCCATCTGCGAACTCTTTCAAGGGATTTTGTGCTGCATTCCACGCCCACTTCTTCGGTTCGACACGAGAATTTAACCAGTCTCAAGGACCAATTCCTCAAGATTAAAGAACGCTTCTCTCCGTCAGTCTTACCGCTACACAGTACAGCTACAGTGACGCCTTCTGGCTTGATCGTACAGGACCTGGCCGCGACAATTAACAATGGAGCTTTGACCAGTGGTCACGTCATACTGTCTGGCCAGCGAGAAGACGGAAGCTGGGAGCTCCCGCAGGCGCGAGTGGAACGCTGGTATCGTGAAGATGACTTCTTTAAGGCTTGTATCACGTGTTGGACTATGGAAGCTGGAGCTGCAATCGTCTCCAAAGTGGCTCGGGTAGTTTCAGAATGGGCAGCAGACACGTCAAGCAATTCTACTTCACCTCCTGTTAGTGGTAGTACTAACTCGATAAACCCAGACGTGTCGTTACAGTGGATTGGTCGGCAGCTCTGGGCTGTGACGGTATCGTTACCACTCACACGCTCGGGAGAACTCCAAGCAGAGCATATCACTCTTGCTCATCGTATCAACCAGGCAGTAGCTGAAGTATCCAAACAAACCAGCACCCGATTGATAACTTCGCCTATAGCGTGTCATCCTTCTCAAGATGCAGTAAGCGAGAATGGTGACATGGAAAAAACAGAGTCGAGCTCACTGCAGCTACCACATTCACCTATCCAACTCGGTCAAGACGATGAAGAAGAATTAGCGTTGGATAAGGTAAACTCCAGTCCGTTTAGCACTCTAGCCGCAGAAGATATTGAAATTTTACGGCTTCAACAAGCGCAAATGGCCGACAAGAAAGTTGACGATGACGATGATTCTGCTAGTGCTGATAGAAGAGAGGATGATGACTCAACCGATCGTGGTCAAAATGATAATGACGAGGAGGAAGAAGATAGCAGAGAGCAAGTAGCAGCACTGCCTCTGTCGTGGTCTATGCTTTCCTTATCGTCGCAACCTTCAGGGTCATCGGAACATGCGTCGTTGCAAGGCGAATTTACTCTCACGGATGACGATAGCATGACTGATCCTGCTGCTCACATGGCTCCGGAGAAAACCGGTTGGCTAAAAAAAAAGAAACGTAAGCAACATGGACTCGGTAGCTCATGGCAGCCTCGCTACTTCGAGCTGAAAGGGAACCGACTATATTATTTTGCTAGTGAGGCTGATGGCCTCCCACGTGGTGCAGTACTATTGGATCATGCTCTTGTTCAACGAGGTCGAAGTGATCGTATGGCTTTCAGTATCTCCAGTGCCAGTTCTCATCGTCGACTGCAAGTGCTCAAGTTTTCAGCTAGACTCACTCATCAAGTTCGTCCGTACGATCCTTTTTTATTTCTACTTTTTTTTTTACTTTTACTTACGCTTTGTTTATTTCCTGCTAGACGGAAATCGATCGAGTTACGCGTAGTTGAGGAGACAGAGGCTGCTGTAAGTACGTGGATTGCAGCACTCAATCGAGCGTCGTTTTACTGTAAGCTGGCATCAGCCACAGCTGGGTCTTCGTCGACGTTACCAGTTCATTCTTCTTCATCCTTTGGACCTTTTTCCATTCCCGACAAAAAACTCAAGACTCCGTTTTATCGTTTTCGCTCTCCGACTGCCACAAAAGCAGCTCTAGCATCCTCTGCTTCGTTCTGCGTCAAAAAGGAACGACGAGATGTCGAAAATACCGACAGGTCCGCGTCGTATCAGCAACTAGGAAGCGTGCAGTACTTACGGGAGACTGATCCTTTATTATGGGAGATCCATCCACCGGAGCAGATCGCTATCCGCAAAAAAGCAGCTCGAGCACGAACGCGTGGGGACTATTTGGCCATTTTTTCACGTCATGCAGAGACGTTTTCTCAAATTTTCTTACCCAGACCGCAACCAATCTCTCTCGAACAAACGCTGCGTGACATTCTGCCCGAGTTATTTCTCATTAACGATACACTTTACGGTGGTGGAGAACAGCAGCAGCAAGCAGCGGAACAGAGCAGTAATGACTCCACTGGACAACCACCGCAGAATCGTGGACTGGAACATATTTTCGAGGTACTGGACGCTCATATTCAGCGGTTTGCAGCTGCCTCTGAAGAACGAGTACATGCTGTTAGTGCGTTGTTGCAGGCTTGTGCACGCACTATCAGTGGAGGCGACTCGTACTTCGTGGTACATCGGCTACTTGGCAATCCGAACTTGATCATTAGACCAGCTGAAGCACGGGGAAGGCCAATTGAAATCGACGTATCTCCCGAACGTCCGAGTCGCTTCTTGATCACAGTATTCAGTGCGTTTTCTTTCCACCTGCTGGACGATGTAGAGCGCTTTGGTGACTCGAATGACGCTAACGGAGGTGGGATGACTCCTGCTCCGTTGCTACGGGTCCGTACTCGGCATATCCAGGAATTTGACTTTGCTAGTGGTACATCCACTCGCTGGTTGAAGATCGATGTAGAAGGTCGTAAAGAAGATGGTAGTCCTGGAGGAAGTGTCGGTGGAGGAGGAACGCTAGGACGATGGGGCAGTCGACGGCATTCTCACGAAGGTGCTGAATCTCGAATAGGAGCATTGCTGGATGCACTATCCTGAAACTGTAAAAGCAATTTGTTGATTAAAAATGAGCTGTGGAATCGACGAGTCTAGCTATGGACTAGCGTCAAGAGCATTCAGACGGCCGTAGGCGAGAAAGCGATCGTGCCAATGGCGAGAAAATTCAAAGTGCTATCAACGCGATCCATTTCAGAACAGGAAAAATGTAGACAAGAACGTCTGAAGTAGAGGTGTTTGCCAGAGTGAAATTTACCATAGTACGATAGTCTCAGAAAATTAGCAGTCATTATTCTTGAAAACCTTTTTGACGGATAGCATTACAAATCTTGCTTTTTTTTGGGGCGCTTTTTGGGGTTTTTTTTTTTTTCCTTTGTTGGGTTTTTTTTACTTGTTTTGGGTTTGCTTGTTTGCCCCGGTTCGGCAGTTTTTTTTTTTTTTTTTTTTTTGTTTACCTTGGCGTTCTTTTAAAAAAATCCACTTGCGGATATATATTATCATCCGTGAGCATCTTTGTGACTGGATAAGCTTACTATTACATTGCTACCGCGAGATGACGGAAAATTTTGACTTTATCAGCCAAACCTCTCTGAAAGAAAAGAACGTCTTAATAATTCATGTTTACCTCAACACTTTGACTGTCGATTGTTGGCACTAGCCAAGCGCAAACGTCGGCGACTACATACCAGACTCAGAGGCATACAGCTCTTGGTTTGCCTTGAGCTTTTATATTGACCACTTCGAGAGTCATCCCACTCGGGAGGGAGTTCCCAGAAGTCCCACCAACCGGCGCTGCTTCATAGACTCAGGACATTTCAGACATCTTAATTTATCAAAAGACTACTCTATCTGTCACTCTCTCTTACACACACATACACACCACTTTGAACTTTTCGGAGCGGAGGAAGTATTTTTTTTTAAGAAAATGCACTTTAAGATTGAAGTTTGCATTTGTTTCAGCTACGATTCACCAATAAAATATTTATCAAATGAAAATCGATAAATACATTTTCTAAATATTGATATGCGCAAAACGAAGTTCTTATTTTAAGAATAAATACCACTTGTATACGTATAAGCTAAAAAATATAACGTATAATTTTTACTTTATTACAATTGCTAGCAAAAATCCTGAAATATGCTAAAAACAATTTTCGTTTTGCCGCTAATTGATGCTACATTTTGAAAAAAAAAACTTAGTCGGCCAGTGTAGCCCTTTGTTTTCGTCACATCAATTTAAGAATAAAACATGGCGCCTACGGAGTTCTACACGCTGGATAACGGGGCTCCGGAACTGCTCCAGGCCCTTTACAAGAGCGTAGGCACTACCAAAGATGAAGGTGCCTCATCCAAACCTGTATACCTTGGCGACTCCCGCCGCGAGAACCACATTGAGGCGCAGGCAGATCCCGTTGAGCACAAGGGCATCCGGCTGCACAACTGGATCATCGGCTCCAACAAGACCCACATCACCCCTATCGACACTGTGGACGAGTGCGTGATATGCTAAGACTTGCTGATGCAGTGAAACAGAGGGTTTTAATGGGTTTAATGTTATAGGATCGGGGAGGCTGCCAAGCTGACTCCGCCCGAGATGGTGTTCGGCAAGAACCAGCTGATGCTGTTCCATGAACCGTCCGGTGTGTGCTACAACTTCCTGGCAGTGGAGGCTCTCAAGGGCGCACACTTCCCCCCGCCGGCCAGTGACAATGCAGAGGACATTGTGGCCAACCAGCAGCTGAAGGTCTCCATTGCCAAGCACAACACAAACAAGTGCGTCGAAGCCACGTAGATGGATGATTGTTGATTGCTAATAATTGTGTCTGTAGGGAAGATGTGAAGGAGCTCAACATCACGTACGACTGGACGTACTCGACGGACTATAAGGGCTCACTGCAGCGTCTCATCAAGTCTGAAGAACCTCCTATCACGTTTACGAAGAGCGAAGAAGACCTGAAAGTAGAGACTACTAGTGAGCGCATTAACTTTGAGAAGTTGAAGGAGCGGGAGCCTATTCTCTGGTTTGAAGACGTTGCACTGTATGAGGACGAGCTCCACGACCACGGAACCTCTGCCATGTCGGTCAAAGTGGTAAGTTTTGTGATGGCTTATGGAGCTTGTGGCCTATTTTAACGCGTTGTCCCTGCTGCTGCAGCGCGTGATGCCGTCGGGGTTCTACGTGCTGTCGCGCTATTGGATGCGTCTGGACCATGTTGTTGTGCGTCTGCACGAGACGCGAATCCACCACCTCTTCGGCACCGACCACTTCCTGCGCGAGTACACCCGCAAGGAGGAGCAGTTCGACGCGCTGTTCGCCAAGGGCCAGTCGAAAAACATGGCCAACTACACCAACATCGACACGTTCCAGCATCTCCTGCCTGTGTGTGAAGCTGTTTACGAGAAGGTGCTGCTTCAGTGATCATCCATCATCTCACTGGTAAGCGTGCTAGTTTAGAATTCTTGGAGAACAGCAAAACGTAACCCGTGATAAATACTGTGTTGTAACGGAACGGGGCTGATACTATACTAACAACAGCCCACCAAAACCCTATCGATAGTCATTGGGAAGCTCGGATCCCACCATGACGAGGCTGTCTGCGTTAGAGGAGACTCCGATTGCCGCGAACATTGTACGCGCTCGAAAAGAATACCAAGATATTCTCCTAGTACTTGTGGCATATGCCGGTGCTTTCATCTCCAAATCCAGCTCAACAGTGCCATCGCTGTGAGCCGTCTCACCGTCCTGGGTGGCCATCTCTGCTTCAACCTCATTCGGCTGTGCCTCGTCGTTCAGGAAGAACGCCACCTGCTGCGTATTCATATCCAAATACACGCCCACGGTGTCTCCCGCTGCGAAGGATTGGGCTCTGCAGACTTCCACACCGCTGTGTAGGATCACGCCAGTCGCAGCGTATCCAACCGCCTCCTCTGTCACTCCTGCCTCGAACGCCTCAGACGGTGCCACGCCCACCATGACGCCCTGAGGGTCCACCATGCGCTCCACCAGCACCTCCCAGTAGTGACGGCCGCTGGTGAAGAATAAATGACGCAGTACTCGCGTCCGCTTGCAGTGGAGAGACTGGCAACTACCTGTTCGAGATTTGCAGTCGGATTTGGAAGTTAGCTTCAGATTGTAGGCCATAACGACGCTTGTAGATGCTATCAGGAGCTGAAACTCTCGCAGCATCTACTCAAGACACGTTGCTTGCTGTGAGGTATAGCAGTAGAAGAGAAAAGATCGTCTACGTACGCACAGCCATGTCGTCTCCTGCTACCGCGCCGCATGTAGCCCAAACGATCGAACAGCTCTACAATGTCACAACGAAATGCTGACTCACTAAGTACGAAATGGAGTCGTCCACACCAACCCAATAATACAATCTTTTCAGCCAATCCGCACACGTCACAGACGGCCATTGGTGAAAAAGACGCTACTACAGCAATAATGAGCCTGGTGCCGCCGCAGCCCGCGTACATGCACCGTCTGGAACTGTCAACCCGCTGCATGGGCGAGAGCTACGCGTCACAGAGCGTCATGGACTTGAGCAATTTGCTGAGCGACAAAATGTCTCTGAAGGAGCTCGTGGGAGACTTGTACCGGCCGTTTGAGGCACAGCATGTGGACCAGATCGTCGCGGTGCATGTGCAAAAAGAGACTATCTCTCCTAATAGCAATGGTGAAGTCGCAGTTAATGAGACGGGCGCATATCACTTTACTACGGCCATCGCTGGGGCCATTGCAGGCACCAAACATCTCGGTACGGCGTGTTGATAGCGGAGGTGACGGTGTGAGGACTGATGGTGAATCGCTATTGATTGCAGCGTATGGAGAACTATCAGTGATAAGAAAGACGATTGTGGCAAAAACACCTAGCAAGACGACGTTCCGAGCGTCCAAATGCAAGCGTGTGGTGACTCTCGACTGTGGAGACGGGAAATTTACAGTCGAGTTGAAGCGCAAGGCCATTGAAGAGGCGGCGCGGGTGCTGCTAGGTGAGAGATGACAGGGATGTGAATGGTTAAGGATAGCTCTGATATTAAGTGTGGATGCATGTGCTGTAGTTGTGGACTGGATCAATGAGGCGGAGAGTATTATCGCTGCGAGAGACGCGCTGACGAAACTGGGCTGTGATGTAGTCGGAGCGACTTTTGTCCTCGCGACGAATGAAGATGTGCTATGCAACTTAAAATCAGCCCAGGTGGCCTATAGCTGCTCGTGGAATCCATCTCATGGCGCAAATCTCAACACAAAATTGTCAAACGGCAGTGGTAATGGATCATCGAGGTGCACGTGCCATCAGGCAGAAACTAGCAATGGACAAAGCTCGAGAAAGCGCCCACGTAACAGTGATATCGACTCGGATCCGTCAGTAAAAGTGCTTTTGAGCCACCACACTGCAGAGTACCAGGTACGGCTCAACGCTTTGAGATTTGTATTGCTGCTTGTTCAGGCTAATAATTATTGAATAGGCCAACGATCCAAGCGAAGACCGCTGCCTTAACATTGTCAAGTCGACGGATGAAGGCGTTCAAATCAACGCAGTTTTTGACGGACATGGAGGATCCAGGGCAGTCGAGTAAGTTACTCTGCTCCGTTGCTGTCAGATAACCACGCTTACTGACAATATTAAACGTGCTGCGTGCAGACATATCCGTACATCACTGTGCCAGCACATCCTCGAACAAGTTAGCTCCAAGAACTCCAGTGATAAGATCTCTGAAATCGTCAAGAGTGCCTTTGCTCGCTCCGACGAGGAACTGAAGCAATCGCTCTTATCTCTGCCAGAGAAAACCCGCATGTCTAAGGGCTACTGCAACGCCGGAGCGTGTGCAGTCATCGCGTTATTCATCAACTCAGTCCTCTACATTGCGAACGTAGGAGACTGCGCTGCTGTACTCGGAAAGGTCAGCAAAGAGACCCAAGGACTACAAGCAATCGAAGTATCAGTGGATCACTCCTGCAATAACCCACAAGAAACTAAGCTCGTGATCGAGCGCTCTCACGATCGCAACGCTATCAGGATGAGCAAAGACGACCAGGCGACTGGTGCTGGTATCATTGGTGTGAAGCGAGTTGCCGGCAGTCTGGCAATGACCCGAGCGTTTGGAGATTTCTACCTCAAGTGTCCAGAACTGAGCTCAGCTCCATTTAAGGTTGGTGTTATTATCTTTTCTTTGTCAAGTCGTTATATAGCCAACACTCTTCGATTGATTGCAGAGCAAGGTACCGTACATTACATCGGAGCCCAGTATTACTACCGTTTACATGAACGGAAGTGAGAAGTACGTCATACTAGCGAGTGACGGTCTCTGGGACGTCATGACGCCTCAAGAAGCTGTGCATATTGTTGACAAATTCGGTACGTCGATGCGTAATGCAGTTTATACGGGAAGACCAAGCCTAATGGTATGAGTTTATTGTGTACAGATCCTGCGCAATCGCTGTTCTTTTCGACTGCAAGCGCTGCTCTCATTCATGCTGCGCTAGAGAAAATCGCCCATCGAGACGGATTGATGATGCACGAACTCATGTCGATGACTCCAGGTTCTGTGCGAAGACGTTTCCATGACGACATCACCTGTACTGTCGTGTATATCGAGCATCAGAATGGCTCCAGCGCATAACACAACACATCCGAGGTGTGATATCAAGGCTACCGGCAGTTGTGGCTTTATTCTGACATCATCATGTTCACATACTCAACGTAGTTGATGTTGCCGTGTTGATCGGGCTCGAGCTACTTATAGGTAAATAAACGAATGTGAGGCCATATTATCCGGTGTAGTAAAGGTTGTTGTTCATTTTGTACCTGACTGATGAGCTCTTGTGCTTGATCAGGAGAGATACGATCAGCTCCGTAAGTTGTAAGAGCAATCAACAGTTTGTCGGCTTTGATGAATCCTGGAGCAGATGCGTTGCCTTCAAACGCCTTGAACGCATTTTTTACTTGTTCAGCCGTGTACGTTGCGTTGACCTTCCTCGACATGACTGCCACAAATTCATCGAAGTCGATTTCACCGTTGCTATCTTGATCAATTTCATTGATCATGAGGTCCAGCTCTTCCGGAGACGTGTCGATTCCCAACGTGTCCATCAACTCTCCCAGCTCAAGTTTCGTGATCGAACCGCCACGGTCCTACAGACCCGAGCACAAGGTAAGTAATGTGCTCGTGTGAATTCGTTAAGAGTAAACGTACTCGATCCACAAGGTTGAAGATCTCTCGAAACTCGATGAGTTCCTCGGATGTTAGAGCATGACTCATGTTGGTGTCCTAGGCGGAGAAAAATTCTGAGCTCGTATGATGCTGGATACAAGCAAGTGTACAATCCCAAGAAACTCATGAAACAGCTACAAACTCTCGCCATTTATGGAATTACAATGCATATGGGCAGCTCTGCGCTTGGTTAACGCGGAGGTAAAGGGTTTGGTACGAAGCGCCGGAGACCTGTGGTCACTATCTCCGTTCGTGGAGCTTGAGCTGGTGGTTTGTTGGCATGTTGAACAAGTTGGAAGATCGGGGTATTGCTGTCAGACTTTTCAGCAGCGGCGTTGAAGGAGTTTTCCCACTCTTGCTTGAGTAAAACCTTGCGCTGAACAGCTTTCCACGCGTTCTGGATTCGTTGCGCTGCAGTTAGTTCCTGATCGTATTTCTGCTGAATCATCTTGAGAGCTTCGTTGCTGTCTTGAACGAAGTTTGGAGTCGGTTGCGTCCGAACGTCGTGTGGCAATGCAATTGAGTCGTTTGTGATGCTCAGTATCATCGCCACACACGTGAAGCTGGGTGTGGAGTGGTGAGGTATAACCTGTAACTTCACTGATCCGTCATGTGTGTTCTTTTCAACGCCTTTGGCTTCTGGTTTAGGCTGATTGATGATTTCCTCGGATGTAACCTTGAATCGTCGTGAGCTGGGCTTCTTCAAGTCGTCACTTCCCTTGTACGTAAGCTTGCATGTGCTACGAGGGCCACTGCCAAGGAGAAGCAGGATATCGTGTAGAACCACACTAGCGAGTTGTTTCGGAGCCCCAAGATTGCCAGTTACGTAGTGCACGCAGTGAAGTATCAAATCGACAGCCAAGTACAGGATCGACAGCGTCAACACGAGAGCTGCACCAGCTTTCAATGACTTCAAGTCTTCACCAATACGACCCAGCTCTTTGTCCTGGAGCGGCGTGTATGAAGCCTCCGTTGAGCTGTTACCTGCTGCGGTGATTCCACCTTCGCCAGCGCCGACTCGCATTGCCAAAGTGTTGGGAATCTCAGTTTCAATAGGTCTCTGATGGGCATCACTGTTGTTCAAGCTGGCTCTTCCCAGCTCAATAGATTGCTCGTGAATGCCAAGTTCATCGCCTTGCTGCTTGTCTACACTTATAGTCGTGGTTTCTTGAATATCAGAATTGTTTACTTCAGACACGACACTTTCTGCTTCTTCCGACTCGCTGATCTCTTCGACGACATCACCTTCAGCATTGAAAGTGGCATCCACGCTTTCTTCTATAGGCTCTTGACTGGTCACTACCAGTGACACATCCGAAGAGCTCTGAAGTGCAGCAATCATTTCTTCTACGGTAGCTAGTCGCTCAGCAATGCTTGGCGTCTCTGAATCAGCTGTTGCAACTTCATCTCCAGCTCGCTCAGCTTGCTGCTCACACTGAGTAAGTGCGAGCATCCAGTCAAATGACAGACGCAGTGACTTCTCAAGCGCCTCAACGCACTTATCATTCTGCTCTACTGCTGCCTTTGCCTGCGCAAACCCGCAGAAATCGATCGCGACATCTTCTGGGTCATTCTGCAGCCAAGACGCTGATGAGGACTCCGTATTATCCTTTAGCACATTCTTGGTCACTATAAACCCAGGCAAAGCGCTTTCAGCAGTCGGTTTCTTGCAGAACCGCTGGAAGTTCACGACTTCATCCAGCGCCTCTCGGATTGCACCAACACACCTCCTTGAGTCTACCCCATGATCGCGACAGCAGCTCTGAATCTGTGCAGGAACGTGTCGTGTCACGTCCAGCTTGAGCAGCACCGGTTGCACGTCCAGCAACATCGGCAGCACGAGCCAAATGGGCTCCGAGTCCGATGTGGCAGCAGTCGTAACTAAAGTGGTGGGCTCGACATGTCGCTCGATGATGGAGACGGAAGCTCCAGAACACTGCGAGTCACATGAAATACACAGAACCAGAAGCGCTAAATTCCTCCGCACGCCCACACGGACCATTGTGACACTGGCGAAGTACTAAGACTGAGGTTTCTTGAGAACTGCCGCATAATCTAGTTGGGGAGGCGCTGCTTCGGCCATTATGGAGCTGCGATTGCGTCGTTTCGTGAAACGATCTTTAGCCGTTGGTAGCCAATCAAAGTCGGTTATCATTTTGTTTTATCCAATCAGATAGCTTTTATCGTTACTTCAAAAAGATCGCATCGAATAACTGAGCAGCGGGCTGCGGCGGCGTACAATGATCACCATCAGTGCCTATCAGCTATCCACTGATAGTTGCTGTGTGGAATGCTCACAAGTTGAGAGCCTCAACACCTCAAACGAAGTCTAAACTTCGGGTTGCGAAGTATACGTTGCAAAAGTAATTTACCAAGTTGAAGTTCCCTTGTGGTCACTTCAAATTGTTACTTAACACAGGGTTTCTCTCATTTTTCATCGAATTCTGATTGCCATGAGCTCCCCACCTCCTGCCAAGAAGACCCGCGTCAACGGCACTGCGTCCAGCTCTGCGCGCGACGTTTGCATCGTCGGCGTCGCCCGCACGCCCTGCGGCTCCTTGCAGGGCAAACTGTCTACGCTCAAGGCCTCAGACCTCGCCGGTGTCGCCATCAAAGGTGCACATCTCCACTCCTCCATTTCCATCAATTAGTTCTGATCTTTTATCACTTTGTCAGAGGCAATTGACCGCGCTGGAGTTCAACCAAACGACGTGGAGGAGCTTATCTTCGGTCATGTCATCTCCGCCGGAGCAGGTCAGGCCCCCGGCAAGCAAGCTGCAGTGAGCGCAGGCCTCCCGCAGTCCGTCGTCTGCTCCTCGGTCAATAAAGTCTGCGCCTCCGGGATGAAGAGTAAATAGTAATTTTTTACTAGTAATAATTGTACATGTATATGCTAACGTTCATTAATTGCGTATCGCAGCGGTGATGCTAGGAGCGCAGTCCATTATGTTGGGCCTGCGAGACGTGGTGGTGGTTGGTGGCATGGAGAGCATGAGCCAAGCCCCTCATCTGTCCAAGAAAGCCAGGAGTGGCGCGAGATACGGAGATCTCGTCTTCTCCGACGCTCTACAGACCGTAAGTGGCAGCGGTACAGTTAGAATTTTGATACTTCTTATTCAGATTCTCGTGTTTTGTTGTGTAGGACGGACTGTTTGATGCCTTTGAGAACATTCCGATGGGGGATATAGCTGAGGAATGTGCTCGTAAGCACGACATTTCGAGAGAAGCTCAAGATGCCTATGCAGCCGAGAGCTACCGACGTGCTCTGGAGGCGACAAAGAGCGGGAAATTCAAACGCGAAGTCGTCGAAGTCCAAGTCCCTTCTGCAAAACGTGGCGCTGCACCCCAGACAGTGACAGAAGACGAAGAGGTTGTTTTGAGACCAGTAGATGTGGCGTCACTGAGTAAATTGCGACCCTGCTTTAAGCCGAGTGGCAGCTATGGACCATCGGTGACTGCCGGCAATGCGTCTCCCATCAGTGACGGCGCTGCCGCTCTTGTCCTTATGAGTCGCGAGAAAGCTAACGCCTTGGGACTCAACTCCAAGATCCAGGCAATTGTGCGGGGCTTTGGCGATGCTGAACAGGAGCCACGGTCGTTTACTACCTCACCAGCTTTGGCTATCCCAAAGGCACTTATTAACGCTGGTGTGGAGCAAGAAGCTGTCGATTTTTTCGAGATTAACGAAGCTTTTTCGGTCGTTGCATGTGCCAACACGAAGCTCTTGAAACTGGATCCAGCCAAGGTCAACGTGTATGGAGGTACGCTCTATTGTGTCGGAAGTAGCAGATATGTACATGTACTGACGTTTGCTATTATGAAAGGTGCTGTGGCTATTGGACATCCGCTGGGCTGCTCCGGGGCTCGCATCATCGTGACGCTGTGCTCCGTGCTGCATCAGGAAGGCGGTCGTATTGGTTGCGCTGCTGTATGCAACGGCGGCGGTGGTGCCTCAGCATTAGTCATCGAGAAAGCGTAAGCACAAGAACTTTGAAGAATGAGCAAACCTACTAATATGCCATGAAACGTTGCATCGCTGCCTTCAGCTAACAACTTGTTGTATTTAGTCGTCGGTGGCAAGCTTGTGGTACACGCGAGCCGTGTAGAGTATAGTGAGAAGAGAGACGGCGATGAGAGGAACGAACGTCCAGTTGAGCACATACTGGATGCCAGGCAGACCCACGACGGTGATTGCGATGTCGCCAATAGCTCGTCCAAAGGTGCCAGCCTCAGTCGCCAACAATCCGGAGTTGAACGTCCCCTTGGCAAAAGATTTGGGGATCGTCTTGGACAAGAGCGACATGTTAACTCCTTCCAGTACATTCGTGGAGATGAAGATGATCACACCTCCAGCGACGAACTGAGGGACCGAGTAGTGACCGTAATTCACGATGATACCGACGCCGACAAACATGGCAATCTCAGAGAGCATAATCATTTCTCGGTCATCGTAGCGGAAGCTCATCCAGCCTACCACCATGTTGGTAGGGAACATCAGCAGACCCAATGCTGCAAGGTACATGCCGTTGTTCGTGGAGCCCCAGTTGAAATAGTACATAGCGATCGTCGAACTGGCCGTGATAAGGCACTCCAGCACCAGTTTGAGAACGATGTAGATGAACAGAGAAGCCACAACTGGGACGTTCTGCCACAGAGAAGCCAGCGGCGGCGGGCTGCTCATCGAGTGAGAACGTGAGATAAGCGGCGTGGTCTCTCCCATCTTTGCTGCGACTACTGCAATGCTCGAGTTGCCCATTCCGTTCTCCAGCATCGATCGTCGACGTTCCAGGTAGCGCTCTCTCTCCATCCTATCGGGTTCCTCGAACCAGAACACTAAGGCGATGAGATAGACCGTCCACATCACAAACATAACCCAACCGGGTGAGGTCTCTGTGGTGATATCGATCCCAGCAAAATTGTAGTCAGGCAGATAGTGAAGGGCAGCCGCGAGTGCAGGACCTGCAGCCATGCCGAGTGCACTAGCAGTCACAAACAAGGCCGATGCCTGCGTACGCTCCTCCCGCGAATAATTGTCCGCAATGTAGCGACGATTAATCGCTCGAGCGCCACCGAAACCATTCAACATTCGCCCAGTCAAAGCCATCGCCACACTGTCGTACGATAACGCCATACCGTACAGCAAGTTGCCTAGAATCAAACACACTGTGGCGAAACTCAGTGAAGCCTTGTACGACCGATTTGCCCACCAACTGTACAGTACGGCACTGGCAAGAGAAGCCACGGGAGTCATACCCACGATCACACCGCTCATAGAGGCCTCAGCACCCAATTCAGCCGCGTATTTCCCACTAGTAGGAGCCACAATGTAGTAGTTCGTCATGTACAGGAACGTGTTGAGCATATTGAGCAGACGTGAAGGCTTTGAGGCCTGTTTGAGGCGCTTGAGCATGTCGTACGTCTCGTCATCTTCATCTTCCGAGGACTCCGAGTCGAAAATCAACGATCGAGCGGCCACAGTCTTGACGTATTGCGTTGATTTGTGCAGTCTGCGGCGGGCTTGACCGATACGATTTAGTATAGGCTCATCCTCGGAGATAGTTCGCGTCAGGGCCTTGTTAGTAGCGTCCGCTGCCAACAGAACTTCGAGTTTGCGCAACTTGGTGAGCGCGGCGCGGATACTGGCGATGATAGCGGAGATGCCTTCGTCGTGATACAATTGCTGCATGTGCGAAGCCTGCGAGTCTGTGCGTGAGGATAAGTACGAGCCCATGATTTTATGCTCTTTGAGAGTTTTATCATGTTTCTTGAGGATTTTGCGGATACCCGTCGCGTTGAGCTCCACAAAGTGTAGCAAGTTTACGAGTTCATCTCCGACATGTCGATACATGTCAGAAATAGAGTGCATGGCCTCCAGGTCCCCCGGGGCCAGCTCCGACTGCTGCGTGCGAAGACCTTGCAATGTAGTGGCGAACTCTCCCTGTTTAGTGAGGAAGAAGAGCACCACACGCTCCACTTCCGAGTCCAGCGCATGCTTGAAGTTTTCCTGCTCTTCGCGAGTTTCCTCGTGCTGAGCTTCCACCACTTTCCGCAGTTTCTTCTTCAGTTGCTTGTACTCGAGGTAGTGTCTGATTCAGTTAGCAATAAATCGTTAGAATAATGAAGAAAGAGTTCACATTTTTGGCAGTCACGGAAAGAAGGCTGTCGTGTGGGACTTACCCTTTCCATTCGGGCCGCTGGGCCGCTGCCAGCTTCTTGGCGAACTGCACCATGGCCGTGGTCTGCCTGACGTGAATCCGGGAATGGCGTGACGGTTGAATCGTCAGCGGCCAAAGACTGGTATTCGTTATGTGATTGGTCAGCCACGGAGAATATACACCAATCAATCTGCATAACGGTATAGTATTTATTGGAATTTAGTGAGAAATGCGTGTAGAAATTGCCTCAAACGACGCTGATTTAGTGAGAAATGCGTATAGAAATTGAATTAAAAAAACAAGGTTGGTTTCACTACGTAGCGTTTTCGAATCTTTCAAGTTCCTCCTGATTGGCTAGGATGGCATTCAGACGAAAAAAACCCATTAAAATTTTAATGGCTTATTTTCGTCTGAATGCCATCCAACGGTACGGTTTATTTGGGTTATTCGGAACCCAACTCAAAAAAGTCAAGTATGGGTCGTAAAAATAGAAGCTTGATTGGCTTTATAACATAGTTCCAAAATCTCGTCGTGACGTATGCTGATTGGCTCGGATGGCATTCAGACGAAAAAAAACCATTAAAATTTTAATGGCTTATTTTCGTCTGAATGCCATCCAAGCATATTTTATTACGACCCAAACATATTAATATCAGTACATGTGCTTAACCGTGAGTAATCAACAATTTTAGGCAAATTCAGCTTCACAAAGTCGCAAAGTCGGATGAATTGCGAAGTCGGATTCCGACGGCATCGCTGAGACCCCACCCAATTCATGGTTGATCGGCGGACTACCGGTCTTTGCTCTCAACGCACGACAAGTTGTAAACCTCGTGTTCTTGCACTACCATTAACTGCGGTATTGGATGGCGTCCAGGTCTTGTTCCCTTATTAATGAAATCCGCTAGCGCCAGTAGGCAACTCTACGTAAATGCCTCTTACAGCGCTAGTTACACGCAAATTGTAAGTACATATAGCACTGCGTTGCATGCTCTAGGTCGTGATAACGACCTAATGACATAATCATGCCAATGCCCATCATCACGACGTCAATTGTCGACTCAACTAGGACTTGTACTAGGGCGAAAAAAAATATAAAGCTGACCTCTGATTCTCGCACTCTTAGCACTACCTCACTCGCTTTCTGCCTGACTCTACTGCTGCATGATTGCCTTCTGGGAACTTCCTTTACGGACAACCTTAGCCACCGGCGGGAAGCTCTGTACATCCACGGCGTCGGCGTCTTTGCAGAAGGCTGGCAACCACTTGGCCGAGAAGCACCGCAAAATCACACGTAGAGGCATGGAGATTGCGCCCAAGCCAATAGAGACTCCCCATTGGCTGGCGGTCAGCGGTTCGCAGTTGAAAAATGATCCTGTGCATTGTACGATGACCAACTGCATGAGGATCTGGAGGATAGTCACGTAAATGTACACACGGTTGCCCATCAAACCCTCGAGAACGTTTGGCTCGTCGTGGATCTTGCGGCAGTTGAGCTCGTTGAAGAGCTGCATCCACACAAACGTGTTGAAAATGACAGTCATGTGTTGAGTGGGCTCGTGCTTGTGACTCTCATCGAGGTCCTGATAGCGACCAGAGGGCACGTCCAGCATCTTCTCGCCTACGAAGGTAAGCATGAGCAGTATCACAAGCTGGTAGATCGACTGGCCGATGATGTGTTTTGTCATGATCTTTGAGAGTAAAGGTTTAGTCTTCGGGTATGGCCGACGCTCCAGTAGAGCCTGCGTTGGGGGCTCCGTAGCAAGTGCCAATGACGCGAACGAGTCCATGATAAGGTTCACCCATAGTAGCTGCACAGCAGTAAGCGGGGACTGCTCCAGAATCACAGCACCCAAGAATGCCAGACTGATAGCCACGACGTTGACTGTGAGCTGGAACATAAGGAACTTGGCGATGGAATCGTACACGTTGCGTCCCCACTTGATGGCGCTCACAATAGACGTGAAGTTATCGTCCATCAGGATGATGTCGGAGGCGTCCTTGGCCACAGCAGTTCCACTGATACCCATAGCGAAGCCCACGTTCGCCTTCTTCAGTGCAGGAGCGTCGTTCGTACCGTCACCGGTGACAGCAATGATCTGTGGACCGTACGGCATCAGGTTCGACTGCATCAGACCAGTCACAAGCGTGTATTTGTCCTTGGGAGACGATCGCGCCATCACACGCAGCAACGGCCAGATCTTGTCGAATTCCGACTGGATGATGTTCCCGTTCCCGTCCAGTACACGTGTACGGAACTCCTGTCCTTCAATGACCAGGGACCCGTCGTTCGGTGAAATGATACCGCACTTTCCAGCGATTGAACGCGCAGTGGTAATGTTGTCACCGGTGACCATACGCACGACAATACCAGCTCGATGGCAAAGCTTAATCGAGTCCGGTACCTCCTTACGTACAGGATCTTCAATGCCGACGATGGCGATACAGGTGAGATCCTTTTCAACTTCATCGTCAGCCCATTGACTGATCTCGTCAGCCGAGGTATCAACGTCGCGATAGGATAGACAAAGCGTACGATAACCTTGAGACGCGTACTTCTCGATAATGGACGTGCCGATGATCTCCTTCTGGTTCCCGTCAAGAGAGGCCACAGAACCGTCCAGACGCTTCATCTTACTGCATAGACCCAGAACGACTTCGGTGGCTCCTTTGGTGTAGATCCGACAGGTACTGGCGGAACGTTTGACCACCACAGACATACGCTTTTTCTTGCTGCTGAACGTGAGCATGTGACCGACCTCAGTGTTCGCACGGACGTTCGGATAGTCGACACCGCAGTCACGAACGAACTGTAGCAACGCACACTCGGTCTTGTTTCCCGTGTGTTCAGGTTGACCACCAGCAACTTTAGCTGGGAGAATTTCAGCCGTCGAGTTGATACACACTCCGTTACAGAAGACGTCACGTGTAGACTCGGACATTTCATCTGTTGCCTGCGAGGCTGACGTGAACTCTTGGCCTCCGATCCAGATTTGCATGACTGTCATCCGGTTGGTCGTTAGAGTTCCCGTCTTGTCCGAGCAGATGGTCGTGGCACTACCCATGGTCTCACAAGCATCCAGGTGACGCACAAGGTTGTTATCCGTTAACATCTTCTTGACCGAATAAGCCAGAGAGATGGTCACGGCAAGCGGGAGGCCTTCTGGGATTGCCACCACTAGCACCGTGATGGACACAATGAAGAATTGTAAGTATTCGCTAACGTACTTGGCCTTCCACTCCTTCTTGTCATCTCCAGTAAAGGTATCCACCGAGAATCGGATTGACATGATGATGAACACAAGCAAAGCTACAGTCGTACCAAGCTTGCCGATGAGAATCGTTAAGCGGTTGAGCTTGGCTTCAAGAGGTGACTGCGTCTCGCCGTTGTCGTACTCTTCTTTCTGCTCCACAGTGCCGTTAGCTGCTGTAGATGGAGCAGGAAGGGGGGTCGTCGCAGCGGCGGAGGGCGCTGATTTCTTCTCGGCCTCTTTGGCCTTGGCTTTTTCCTTGTCCTTGTCTTTGCCTAGGATAAGCTTCTTGATAATACCAGCTTGGGAGTTTTCACCGACACAAACAACCAGCATCTTGCCCAGTCCTTCCATGACCTTGGTTCCTGAAAGAAGGAACGGGTTCTCCGTGTTCTTCACCATCAGGTCCGACTCACCGGTCATAGCAGACTCGTCCAGCTTGAGCTCCTTCTGGTCGAATACAATGCCGTCGGCCGGAACGATATCACCCAAATCCACACGAACGATGTCGCCCACCACGAGTCCGAACTTGCTCACCTCGGCTGGTACCCCGTTCCGAATTACTTTAATCTTCTCATCCTCCTTGACGGCATTGAGGGCACGGAACTGTGCCTCCTTCTGGTAATCGTTGATGGCCGTCACCATCGTCACCACCAGCACGGCGAAAATAATACAGGCTCCTTCAATCCAGCCGGTGTCCGGGTGGTCGCCTACAGTAATTGCTAGGATAACAGAGAGGACGCCGGAAATGGTCAGGACGATAATGGTTACGTCCTGGAAGGCTTCCCACATGAGTTCTAATAGACCCTTGGCCTTTGGAGGAGGAATGTAGTTGGACCCGAACGTGTCTTCACGCCGCTTCAAGTCGGCGCTGTCATTGGTGTTGAGCCCCTGTGTGATATTGACACCGAGTGACGTTGCGACGCCCGTGATACCCCCTAACTTGGCAAGCTGTTCAGCTTGATGTTCGTGTTGCGTTTCGATGAGTCGAATGAGATCACCGACGACGAGTTTGAACTGACCGCCCTTGGGCTGCTCCGAGTGTATCATGGCCCCCCACCTGAGTACCTGCTACCAGGTAAGGGTGTAACCCGATCTCGAACGTTTGCGTGCCCCTCCTGCCTCGCTGCGTTTGAATGCGTTTAGGGACTTAGCTCCCCGTCGTTTCTCGTCACGTAGAGTGAAGTCTTCGTATTCGTGAAGGAGCTTTCCTTCGTTTCTCCCGGCGGCCGGGCACCTTTTCGGAAATGCTCGCAAGTGGGGAGTTGAGCCGTTGGTTACAAGCTTGGTCCATGCGATTGGAGCCCCACGACAAGTCACGCGTCGGCTGTACAACGAAATTAGCTCAAGACGGAGGAAACCAATTCTGGAAACTCCTTGGTGAAAGCCCTATAAATATGAACGCAGTATTGGCATGCGTGCATCCCATGGAGCAACTACCATGGAGTTATTTCCTCCTTCTTCTGGTCGATGGTTCTAAATCACTGACTGTTGACAATGACAACTGGATGGCCTAGCACCGAAAACGGACCTGCTTCAATGATACTGTTTTTAGTGCATGGTACCAGCTATCTACAGTCCTTATCATCACATTAGGGTAAAAAGAGCTCTCGGTCTTCGAGACGTACTATTCACATGGCGCTGAGGTCCTCTTGCCGATATATTTGGCCAACACTAGATGTACATCTCATTTGTCAAGGATTGTCATCTGCATAGTATTTGGTAAATTAAAAGCTCGCCCTTTTGATTTGCAACGATCTCGGAAGTTGAAGTGACGGACGGACACGATTGGTGAGTATGGTGGGGAGATTTCGTTACCTCCGCGTCTTCGCAATCACTTTCGTGAACTCAATTATTCGGATCATGCATACTTGCTTAGGAGCTTCTCTTCCGAGCGTTTGGCCAATGATGCGAAGATCGATTCTGACCGCGCCAACAGCTCCGCGGGTGACCCGAACTCAGCCACCTGGCCGGCGTCCATGACCGCGATCTTGTTGCAGTGCATGATCGTATTGATGCGGTGCGCAATGATCAGCACGGTCTTGTCGGCGAACGTCTGCCGGATGGTGGCTTGGATGAGCGCGTC